TCTCTTCACCATCCATACTGATGCTGCCAATTGGCCCAGTGGTGAGAATCTTTGTTTTCTTGATGTTGAGCTTCAATCCATATAGGAGGCTACAGCAATCCATATAGGAGGCTACAGTCCTTGACCTTCTGTAGCAAGCGCTTCAGGTCCTCCTAAGTTTCAGCAAGTAGGGTTGTGTCATCTGCATAACGCAGGTTGTTAATGACTCTTCCACCAATCCTGATGCCACATTCCTCCTTGTGCAGCCCAGCATCTCAGATGGCAGCTTGGGACAACAAAGCAAGATACTATAATGAAATGTGCAGAGAACTGGAGTCAGAAAATCAAAATGGATGGATGAACTTGCTCAGCGTTTCTTAAGCTGAAGGTGCTGAAAAACAAATTCAAGCCACAGGTGGCAATACTTAAAGATACTTTGGGTAGAATGTTAAATGATCCAGGAAGTATCAAGAGAAAATGGAAGGAGTACAGAGTCACTGTATCAGGAGGAATTGGCTGACACAGAAGAATTTAATGAAATAACATATAAGCAAGAGCCTATGGTGATTAAGGAAGAAGTTCAAATTGCCCTGAAGGAATTGGCAAAAAACAAGGCTCCAGGAGTCGATGGCATACTAGTTGACATATTTCAACAGACACTGCCCTGGATGTGCTCACTAAGTTGAACCAAGAAATCTGGAGGACAGCCAGCTGGCCAACTAACTGGAAAAGATCGATATTTGTTCCCATTCCAAAGAAAGGTGACCCAACAGAGTGCAGAAATTATCGAACTATATCATTAATATCACATGCAAACAAGATTCTGCTGAAAATTATCCAAAAACGTTTGGAACAATATGTCAACAGAGAACTGCCAGATGTGCAGGCTGGATTTAGAAGAAGTCATGGCACTAGGGATATTATAGCTAATGTTAGATGGATCTTGGCAGAGAGCAAAGAATACCAGAAGAATATCTATCTGTGCTTCATTGACTATGCAAAGGCTTTTGACTGTGTGGATCACAACAAGCTGTGGCTGACTCTAAGAAGAATGGAAATCCCAGAACATTTGATTGTGCTAATGCGAAACCTATACTTGGACCAAGAGGCAGTCATCAGAACAGAGCAAGGAGACACTACATGGTTCAAAATCAAGAAGGGGGTCCATCAGGGATGTATTCTGTCTCCATACCTTTTCAATCTGTATGCAGAACAGATCATCCGAGAACTGCCCATAGGATTATAATTATTAAGATTAGCCAACTTCACAATCTCTGACACACTCAGTCACTGTTGTAATCACAGTATCAATCCACCTAGTTGGGAGTCTTCCTCTCCTTAGCTATCCCTCTACCTTTCCAAGTATGATGTCCTTCTCTAAGGAGTAGCCTCTCCTAGTAACATGCCCAAAATATGGTAGATGAAGCCGTACCATCCTTGCTTCCAAAGAGCAATCTGGCTTCACCCTCTCCAAGACATATCTGTCTCTTCTCTTGGCAATCCATGGGATATTCAGTACTCTCCTCCAACACCACAACTCAAAGAATCCAATTTATCTTCTGTCATCCTTATTCATTGTCCAGCTCCCAGCTGCAATCTCCTTACATAAGCAGATTGCCACATGCTACAGACTGCTCCCTTCCCGTTTGCAAGCACAGACCTTTTGGTTAGCAAGCAGTGTTTTAACCATTGTTGTTGTTGTTGTTGAGCCAGAACCAACCCATAGCTTATTCTCTGGGGGTGGGGGTGGGAGGGGTGTTTTCAGAGGCAGTTAATCACACAGGAGGGGATGGCCCATCCTTCTCCCACAGAGCAACTAGTGGATTCGAACAGGCTATCTTTGGGATTGCAGTGCAGCTTCTTGCCACTGCACCACCACAAATATTATTGCCCTGAAAATTCTATGGGGCTATTCACTCTGTCTTCCAGGGTCACTATGAATAAAAATTTGACTCAAAGGCAATGGGTTTGTTGAAGAGGTTATCATTTCCTCATTTGATAAGTTTTCTTTCCTTATCAAATATCAGCTGACCATAGATAGCTTGGGTCTATTTGTGGGTTCTAAATTCTGTTCTATTGGTCTTAGTGTCTGTCACTGTACCAGTTCCAGGCTGTTTTGGTTACTACCGTGGTTTTGAGGTCAAGGGGTGCTATGCCACCCACTTCATTTTTGTTTCTCAGAAGTGTTTTGCTTATTCGGGGTCCCTTTCCTCTCCAAATAAATTAAACTTGGTGCTGGCAAAACTGGAATACTACCTGCAGAAAGCTGCAACAGTATCCACATCTCACAGCATACACAAAAATCGACTCAAGGTGAATCAGAGACTTGGGAGGAAAGCCCAAAACCATAAAGTTCATCAGAGACAAACTGGGATCAAGGTATAAAGAGAATGCCAAATACAGCCAGAAATGCACAATCTGGAGGGATAAAATTGATGAATGAGACCTTCTAAAGATTAAATCCCTGTACACACCAAACCCATTTTTGAACAGAGTGAAAAGAAAACCTACCTACTGGGGAATAAAAACATTTGGCAATATTATCTCAGACAAAGGTCTCGTTCCAAAAGTTTATTGAATCCTACAGGGCCTCCACAACAAAAAGACTGATAACTCAATTACAAAATGGGCAAAAGACATAGAGAGAGTTTTCACAAAGGAAGATACTTGGATGGCCAACAGACACATGAAGAAATGCTCAAAATAACTAACAATAAGAGAGATGCAAAGCAAAACCACAATGAGATACCATCTCCCTCTAGTAGCAAAGTTTAACAGGACAGCAAGTAATAACTGTTGGAGAGGATGTGGCCAGATAGGTACCCTTTTTGTTCTTGGGATTGTGAAATGGTACAACCACTCTGGAAGGCTGTTTGACGCTTACTCAAACAGCTGAACATAGACATTCCATACGAACCAGCTATTACACTGCTTGGAATATACCCTGAGAAAAAAAGAACTGAGTCATAAATGGAGACTTGTACATCAATGTTCACAGCAGTGTTATTCATCATCACAAGAACATGGAAACAGTCCAAATGTCCAACCACAACGGAATGCATTGAGAAATTATGGTACACTCACACAATGGAATACTATGTGACATGCAGGAGCAATGATTTTGTAAATTACTACCTAGCTTGGGAGGGATTGGAGAGCATTATATTGAGTAAACTCACTCAGGCCCATAAGGACAAATAATGTATAAGGCCATTACTGTAGAACGAGTATGAGGATAAAAAGGTGGAGAAGGTGTAAGCAGAGGGATGAGGATTTGGGGGAAGAAGGTTAATCATAGGGTTGCACAATTTGATAGGGAGTGGGTGAGGGAAATGGAAAAGAGACTGTGGGGGAAACAATGTATGGAACTTTAGGAAGGGACACTTACATTAAAGGGAGCTGTGGTGGTCTAGTGGTAAAGGAGTTGTGCTGTCAACCCAAAGGCTTGAGGTTTTAAACCACCAGCTGCTCCCCAGGAGAAAGAGGGGCAAACTTCACCCTAGTGATTTACTGTCTCTGAAAACCCACAGGAAAATGAGTTGGTTTCGACTCGACAGCACACAACAACAAATTAAATTTTAAAACTTTATCAGTGAAAATTACATCAGTCGCATGTGAAGTAAGTGATTGGGATTTAAGTTTCTTCATAATTTCGCAAAAGTGCATATAAAGTAAAAATAGTAACAAACTTCCTATCTGTTCTGCCAGAGGCAGTCCGCCATTTCACGAAGAGGGGCTCTGGGAGAGGGTCTTCAAAAGTGCTGGCTTCCAGAATGTGTGCGAAGAGGAAGGTCAAGGCGTCCTTCCGCCACACGTTTGCAAAATCCCCGCGAATTCGTTAGCAGCTGTCCTTTTCCCCAGAGCGGAGCAGGCGCGGGGCCTCCTCCCTTGCTAGCCCCCGGGGAGGAGGAGGTGCCCGCATTTGGACGCTGCACAGGTCAGGGTCGGGTCAGGTCGGGTCCTGTCTCCATGGTCAACAAGCCCAGGCCGGCCGGCTCCCACGTGGCGTCCGCGGCCATCCCGCCTCTGGCTCAGCCCCCCGGCCGGCCGCTCTGATTGGCGCGCACAAAGGCAGGAGGCGACAGGGACAGGACGGGGCGTGCGCGGAGCAAAGGACGTGAGGTCGTGGTCACCCGGGCAGCTCCCGGAGCAGAGTGGCTGGTGCAGAGCGCTGCCCTAGGCAGGCAGCTGGGCACACCCCGACCTGAAAGCGCGCAACCCCACCGTGGGCTCTGGCCTGCTGCAGCTGCTGTCACCCTCCTCCCCATCACGGGCAGCGCTCACCTCAGCGCTCGCGGTGCCTCCACCTTCAGCTTTTTGGGCTTGGGTTCCTCCACTGCAGCTGCCATCTTCACGCTCACCCCACTTTGGTTATTCGGTCCGCCTCACCCCCTTGTCTCTCTGGCTCCACCCTCTCTCCGAATCACCGCCTTCTTTTCCCCAACCACGCCCCTCTCGGGCCTCCCAGTCCCTGCTGCTTTCATCGGTAACTACTGGCTCTTCCCTTCTTCCCAAAACCAGTTCTCGCCCTGGTGCGCATTACTCAAAAGCAATTTAAACTCAGAATTATTTGTGCTATTCCTTAATCTGCAGTGGACAGTTTTATATAACTTTTTACTTGTACTATTTCACCAATCTTTAGTGAATAATTTCACATTGGATTTCGGAGTGAAACCCCAAATGAACGTCACCACAGATAAAAGAACAACCGCAAGGAAACCCGATTCTACCTTGCTTATTGGCTAATTCTATAGGTCACCGCCCCTTCTTGGCTCCGCCTCCATGCCTGGGAAGGTAGGCTTCTAGTGAGTGCCTGAGTTCAGAAGGTGCGAAGTTCCCGTTCTACTGGCTCCCCGGCCAGTTAGAAGACTTGGATCTCAAACTCTTAAGAGTTGTCTTTCTTAAAGTTTTCCGTATTCTCGATTATTAGTCCTTGCAATACTGCAGAGTCCGTGTCTTTGAAGCGATTAATCAGGCAATCTATCGGGCACCACACGACGGGGGCCTCGCGCGCTCTCGGCAGCCTCAGCCTCGGTCCGGAGAGGACCCGGCGCCGAATCACTAGCAGGCCAAGGTGTAGGGGTGAGTCTGAGGGGTGGGGAGTCTGCGGTCTCGGGACAGTACGGGAAAAAGGGAGTGGACTGAATATCTGGGGCTTCGGACGGCAGTCTGCGTGGCGGGAGCCTGGCTGACTGTGGGGCGGAGCCGTGTCTCCTCCTGGGGCTTTCTCGGCAGCCTGGCCGGAAGCAGGCTGTGCACCTATGACCCTGTGCTTTCAGGCCTCCGGGTCCGGGAGGTTCAAGCCTTTTGGAGTCTCTGGTGCAGAAGAAAAGGGTGTTGTCATCCACAGTTAGCTGGAGTACCGGTGCCTCGCACTTCAGCTCCGGGTTTCCGCCTTGAAGAACACCTGTGAGGCAGTTAAGCGGATGTCCTGTTAGAGGGTGGCGCCTGGGTGAGCCTGACTTCGTGAACATGCAACCAGTTCTTCAGTAGAGAGATAGCGGAGGTCTAAATGGAGCGGTATAGCGATGAACAATGTTGCTCAGTTGGTGGATAGAGTGGAACCTGAAGTTTATAACCTAGATTGCTTAAAATGCTAGCAACATAAGATTGAGAGGAGGATTTGTCGAGAACAAATAATGTGTTTAATGTGAGATATAGAGTTTGAAAGGAGACCTTAGATAGAAGTGACAGTAAGGTTTTAAAAAAAAATCAAGTCTGCGAATTAAACCAGGAAACCTGCAAAGTAAGGGGAAGTTTTATAGTGAAGTAAGACTTGTTTTAGGAAGGTTGTCAGTTACTTGAAACGCTGTAAGGGTCAAAGGAAGAAGTTGAACTTAGAAGAAGTCCCTGGATTTGATTAGCAGTACACTCTACTCTGCACTGCGCCACTAGAGCTGAAGGTCCTTGGATTTGATGACTAAGGAATCTTGCATATATTTGAAAGAGCTATTCAAAGAGAAGAGACTGCAAGTATAAATATATTCATTTAGGACACGAAGGTGACAGGGTGGGGAAAAACATTTTAGAGTTTGTTTATTTAAAAGACTACAAGACTTGGGATAATTTTTAGGTAGAAAACAAGTGATCAGTATAGCAAGATCAAAGATTGCAGAGATCCTGAAGGGGGATCAAGATTGTCAGTAGAGGGATTAACTTTTGGAAGAAAAAAGGACATTTTGCATTGAGATGGTAGGGAAATTGAAGTGTTGGCATGAATTAAGCATCACAGGAAGCTTGCATATATTCACGCAAGGGAAAGGTTAGTTTTTCTTACTGAACCTTAATGTTTTTATGTTTCTAATAACTGTAGTGCACTATTATTGGAGTATTTAATAGATTTTAAATAACCCAGTTATGAGATAGTGCAAGAGGCCTTCATAGAGAGGAGAGTTTTACACTCCCTACAGTCACCCCCTCAACCTTCTATGTAGAGAACAGTCCCTGAGAGGTGGAAGTGATTTGTACCCCACTCCTCACATAAAGGTTGAGGGTTCAAGCCCACTCTGCCACAGAGAAAAGGCTGGTGATCTGCATACTGCAGCCAAAAGCGCCTTTGGAGCTAATTTCTCTTTTGTCATACATAGGGTTGCCATAAATTGTAATCATGTTGACAAAAAAAAAATTGTAATCATGTTGACATCAACAAGCTTTGAAAACACAGAAAATAGAAGCTACCATTTTCCTATAATTAAACATACATACTTGTTCATGGTCCTCATTCATTCATCCATTCTCTCTCCTGAATTATCAGTCTGTAAACCCTTTTGTAATTTAGACCTTCCCTTCATCATTTCAAAATATTTTTCCTTCATATTATGAATTATTCCAATTTTTTGTTCTCATCCTCTTTATTATTATTATTCATGGTTTATTTACAAAATTTGAATCCATTCTTTTCCAGAACAGTCTTCCAATTTCCCTCACATTGTTTTTCTAAAACAGATTCTTCCAATTTCCCTTACCACCTCCATCCATCAAATTGTACAACCCTAACCCTCTCCCCCTACATATCTTCATCCCTCTACTTACATTCTCCCCCCTCCTTATACTCATTCTACAATATTTGTTTTATACAGTATTTGTCCTTATGGGACTGAGTATCCTCTTTAAATTCTGGAACCTATCATTTGCTCTCCCTGTATCTGTTTTTCCCATTCCTTGCTATTCTTAGCCACTGTACTCTGCCTTTTATTGCTAGCATCCCACTTAATTATGCTGACCAAGATCAACCAGAGTCCAGTTTATGAAAAATTGCTTCTTGCAGGTGAAAAAAAAAATCACTTTATATAGAAAGCACAGATACCTGTATGGGGCATAACAGATGTGATATTAAGACATTATAGTGGGGACCTTATCTTAACCAAGAACATCTACAAAGGAACAGACTAAAAGCCTTAAAACTAAAAAGAAAAAGACATTGTAGTGGATAATTTTGAAGGCAGAGGTTCTAAAAAGGCTTTTTCAGGAGGCAATAATAAAAAGAAATTTGAGAAACTGTTATATCAATAGAATTTTCCGTTTTCTTAGAGGTCGACCCCTTCGTACCATTTAATATTGTTTATCAATCCATTTTCCTATATTACACAACACACTCTTAGTTACTGAAACCCATCAGAACTACTTTTTTTTTACCCCTTTTGCCTCTTTAGTCACATCTTCTCACGTTTTAGGTCTGCTTCCTTGACTCACTCACTACTCAAAGATTGGATTGCCTTCCACGAAGTATCTTGTTACAGGGTACATTGTGTCTCTGTTGCTTCATCATCTTCATTATAATTCTCATGAACAGAAAAACTCCATTACTCTCAAATCTACCTCTGAACTAGGGTCTCTCCAAAGCATCAGATTTGGGTATACAGTGTTGGTGTGTACCATCAAGTCAGAACTGACCCATAGCTGACCTTCCATTGAGTTTTCATAGGCAGTAAACATGGAAAGAGAGTGCCCACCTTTCTCCCATAGTGGATTTGAATTACATACCTTTATATTGGCAATACAATTCCTTACCGGTAAGACATGAGAGCTCTCTATAGATATACAGTTGTTGTTGTTACTGTAGTGGTTGTTCTTTTTGTTATGTGCCATCGAGTCGCCTGCAACTCATAGCAACCCTGTGTACAATAGCCCTAAAACCTGCTCTATCCCTTGCCAGTCTATTGTCTCCAACACACCCATCCCCATTACCCCAGTGACGGAATCAATTCATCTCATCAAGGGTCTTTCTCTCCTGCGAAGTCCCTCCATCCTCCCAAGCATGACGTCCCTCTCCAAGGACTGGTGCCTCCTTGCAACATGTCCAAAGTATGTCAGACAAAGGTTCAGAATCCTTGGCTCCAAGGAGCAGCCTGGTTTAACACTCTCCAGGACAAACTTGTTTGTTCTCTAGCAGTCCATGGTCTATTCAATACTCTTCTTCAGCACCAAAGCTCAAAGGCATCAATTCTCCTGTCATCCCTAGTCATTGTCCAGCTCTCTGATGCATAGCAAGTAATGGCAAAGACCATGGCCTGTACCAGGCAGACCTTAGTCTCCAGACTGACATTGTTGCTCCTCAGTACCTTGGAGAGGTCTCTGACAACAGACTTTCCCAATGCGATTCATCTGTTAATTTCCTGGTTGCTGGTACCAAGAGTGTTGATTGTAGAGCCAAACAAACTGAAGCTGTCAACAATCTCAGTCTCTTCACCGTCTATCATGATGCTGTCAATTGGCCCAGTGGATATACAGTAGTCACTTGAAAATATTAAACTGTCTTAGAATTGAGGAAGATAATACAGGACTAGAACTAAATGCCGTATCTGCTCCATCCTCAGTTTCTACATAAACCTAAATGTTTTGTGGTTTGGTTTTTGGTTTTGGTTTTTTTTTCCTTTCCATTTTCTCCATTATTAAAAGTTCTGGTGGCATAGTCCACAGAGAGTTGTTCTGCAGACTCACCTGTAGCACCCCTCTGGCAGTTTGACTCTACCAGCAGCTTCCTGAGGGAAAGTTGAATAGTCGTTTTCGGTGCTATTTGTTCTTGTTGTCATTTGTTCATGTGCCATTGAATTGCCTGTGAATAATAGTGATGCTGTGTAGAGTAGCTCTAAAGCCTGTCCTTTCTGAGCCATTCTCACCTATCCCAGTTACTGTGTCAATCTATCTCATCTGGGGTCTTCCCCTCCTAATCTGTCCCTCTGCCCTTCCAGGCATGATATCCTTCAAGAACTGATCCCTTCTGGCCATAACCCAGAGTATGTGAGACGGAGTCTCAAAATCCTTGCCTCCAAGGAGAAACTTGGTTTCACCCTCTCCTGTTTTTTTTGTTTTGTTTTTTTTTTGGTATGTACAGTACTCCTCTCCAACTCAGAGGTATCAATTCTTTCATTTTTATTCATTTTCCAGCTCTCTGATGCATAGCAAGTAACTGCATGGCCCAGATCAGTCGCCCCTTAGTCCCTAGCCTGACAGCATTACTCTTTAGCACACTTGAAAGGACTCTAACAGCAGACTTCCCTAATGCAACTTGTCTTTTGATTTCCTGACTGTTGGTGCCAAGAGTGTTGATTGGGGATCCAAGTAACCTGAAATTGTTCAAATCCCTTCTCCATCTATCATGGGCCAGTGGTGAGAATCTTTTATTTTCTTGATGGTGAGTTTCAGTGCATATTGAAGACTACAGTACTTGAACTTCTGCAGCAAATGCTTTAAGTCCTCCTCAATTTCTACAGGCAAGGTTGTGTTACCTGCATAATGCAGGTTATTGAGTCTTCCTCCTGTCCTCATGCCACATTCCTCCTCATAAAGCCCATCCTTCCGAATGATCTGTTCTGCATACAGATTTAAAAGATAAGGAGACAGGACTCCTTTTCTGATTTTGAACCATGCAGGGTTTCCTTTCTCTGTTCTGACTGCTGCTTCCTGATCCAAGTATAGGTTTCATATGAGTACGATCAAATGTACTGGGATTTTTATTCTTCTCAAGGTTAGCCACAATTTGTTGTTATCTACATAGTCAGATGTCTTTGCATAGTCAATGAAACACAGACATTTCTTTGGTACTCTTTGCTTTCAGCTATCTGAAGTTAGTGATAATGTCT